GAAAATCCTCTTGGAAGCCAGGGATCAGTGTGGCCTGAACCCTGAGGGATGGAGTTGNTCCTGGGGAAGGCAAGTCCCCAACTTACACTGGGATGAAAGAAAATCCTCTTGGAAGCCAGGGATCAGTGTGGCCTGAATCCTGAGGGATGGAGTTGCACGGAATGCTCCCAGAAGAGCGGATTGGAGTAAGCCAGCTCTAAGTCCGTGGATGTAAGCCACCCGTGAGGGAGGAGGTCAGTTCAGCAAGGAGCTCTCTGGACAGGTCTGGGCCTATGCAGTCGTTGTAAATTGTTCTTAACTGTTAGGGTTGAATGTCCCCCCCCTCCCAAGATATATTGAAGTACTATCCCACTCAGAATGTGATGTTATTTGGAAATAGGGCTGTTGCAGAGGTCATTGGTTAAGATGGGGTCCTACTGGAGTAGACTGGGCCCTGATCCTATATGACTGGTGTCCTCATAAGAAAAGAAGGGACTCAGGCACCCAGACACAGAGGGAAGGTAAGAGGCAAGCCACGTGATGACAGAGGCAGAGATCAGGGGGATGTGGCCACAAGCCAAGGAACACTTGAGCCTACCAGAAGCTGGAATAGGCAGGAAAGATTCTTTCCTAGAGACTTCAGAGGGAGCACGGCCTTGCTGACTCCTTGATTTTGAACTTCTGGCCTCCAGAGCTGTGAGACAATAAATGTATGTTGTATTAAGTCCCCATTTTGTGTTATTTTGTTACAGTGGTCTCAGGAAACTAATGTATCAACTATAAAATCATCAAAAAAGTTTCATTAAAAGTACAAGTCTAGTTTCTGCTGGGCTGTGGGTGACACTGGCCTTCTCCCCAAGCCCCCAAGCCAGAGTGCTCCTGACAGGAGCTTTGGCCCACAGAGGGCTGGAGCAGAAAACCTGCTCCTGAGAGCCTGTGACACACCTGGGGGATGCTCAGGAAGAGCCAGGTGGCTGATTCCTTGCAATAAAACAGGTGGTGGCTTGTGCCAGTGAGGCTTGGATGACATATGGCCTTCAGATGTGGCATTTAGTCACAATATTCATAAACCACTGACAGATGTAATTACCATTTGAGGGACGTATTCACTATTGGTCCCTCCCCGTGTGAAGAGTTGTCAGTGTTGGAGTTTCTTCTACTGGTGTGCAGAAAAAAATAGAACTTCTATTTTTAGAACATTTTAATTTCAAAAATCAGAGAATTGAGCTTTGGTAATATGCGGTGTATGGATTGACCATGGCACCCTCATGCCTGCATGATATTTTCTTCCACTGAATTTTTAGAGAGTGGAAGGGAGGGGGGAGAGAGAGAGTAAGAGAGAAACATCAATGTGAGAGAGACACACATCAATTGGTTGCCTCTCACAGGGCTGGGGATCGAACCTGCAACCCAGGTATGTGCCCTTGGCTGGGAATTGAACCTGCAACCCTTTGGCCCATGGACTGACGCTCTAACCACTAAGCGAAACTGGCCAGGGTGCTGGAGGCTTTCTTGCAGTCTCCTGGCAACAAATTTACAATAGATTTATCTGAAAATTGTCTTTATGTCTCCACTTTTTATTTTGAAGTACTTATATTAGCAGGTATTCAGAAATAGTAGAGTTCCCATGTACTGTTCTCTGGATGGTAACATCTTACTTAAATACAGCACAGTATCAAAACCAAGAGACTGAAATTAGTATTACCCACAGAGCTTGCTCAGATTGCACGTTTTACATGCATTCGTGTGTGACTCTACTCAATTTTATGACGTGTGTAGAACTGTGTAACTAAAACTACTATCAAAACAGATCTGTTCCTTCACCAAAAAGATCTCTCTCATGCTACCTCTTTATTTCTCATTTTTGAAAAATTCGTTTTTGCTGGATATAGGATTTTAGGTAGACTGTGTATTTTAGTCCATAAAGATGTTCCACTTTCTTCTGACCACTGTTTATTTCTGATGAGAAATCAGCTATCCTGTTATTGTTTCCCTTATGAAATATATTCCCTGCTCTGTCTGCTTTCAGATTTCATATTTGGTGTTCAGAGTCTGACTATGATGTGTTTGTGTGGGTAGTTTTCTTTGCTTTTATGCTGTTTAAGGTTTACTGAGTTTCTTAGATTTGTGAGTTACTGGGTTTTTTTTACCCAGTTTGGAAAAGTTCCCAACCAATATTTCTTTAAGCGTTTTCCTCTCTCCACTCATTCTGGGACTCCAATTTCACATATATTAATTGGTTTGATAGCTTTATACCAAAAAAGCCTTTGTTTATTCTTGTCTCTGTTTTCCCCTCTCTAGTTTCATGATTTTTTTTTTAAAAAAAGGGTAACATATTTTATAGTTCTCGGATTTCTATTTGGTTCCCTTTTAGTTTCCATCTCTCTCCTGAAATTCTCCCATCTCTATCCAACACACCCATGTTTTCTGTAGGCTCTTTAACATTCTTATCATAGTTATTTTAAAATCTTTTTTGTACCAATGGTAACATCTGGATCACTCATAGGTCTGCTTTTATTGAATGATTTTTCTCTTGATTATAGGTAATATATTTTTGTTTCATTTCACATCTAGTACTTTATAGTGGACTAATTATGGGTATGTTATAAAAATCCTGGATGATGTACCTTCTGAAAACTGTTGAGCTCTGTTTTAATATTTGTATGTGGTTAAAGGTATGTATCAAAGTTCTTCTTCTGCATATGAATACAGTTAAGTCCTCACTTAATGTCCCTGATAGGTTCTTGGGAACTGCGACTTTAAGCAAAATGACGTATAATGAACTCAATTTTACCCTAGGCTAATTGACATAAACAAGAGTTAAGTTCCTGGGGCATATTTCTGGTCGTAAACACATCACCCAAACAAAAACATAAAGACCCAAAACACTTCTAATGTTGAACATTAAAATAAATGTGAGCTATGCATACATTCAAGAGAGATGAATAAAAACAAGATAATTACAGTATTTACCCAAGTTTTGGTGACTCAGTGAGTGACATGACTATAGTGGTGCACGTGCATACGTGTGTGTGTGCACACACATACTCAGACTGGGTCGCTTCAGACACAAAAGTTCACCTTGCTGCACACCTTTAGGATGTGGGAAAAAAACAGAATCCCCAGAAAAAAACCCATGCAGATATAAGAACATGCCAACTCCACACAGACAGTTGCCTCGGCCAGGAATCCCTCCCACCCCATCAATATTATAATGAAACGATGTTATTTGAGGACCTGCTGTCTCCAATTGTTCCAGCACCATTTGTTGAAAAGATCCTTTCTCCACTGAATTGCCTTTGCATGTTTGCACAAATTCAGTTGCTCATAAATGGGTGGGCCTATTTCTGGACACTTGTCTGTTTCCTTGATGTAGTTGTCTGTTTTTACATCAACAGTATAGCATTGTGATTACTGTAGCTTTATATAGAATACATCATGAAATCAGGTAGTTTTATCCCTCCAACCTGGTTCTTTTTCAGAGTCACAGAGAATCTAAGTCCTTTGCATTTTCATTCGAATTTTAGAATCTGCTTGTCACTTTCTACAAAAAAGCCTGCTGGGATTTATTTTTTTTTTTTTATGTATCTTCATTGATTTCAGAGATGGGGAGAGGGAGAGAGAAACATCAATGCTGAGAGAGTCATGGATCGGCCGCCTCCTGCACGCCCCCTGTTGGCGATCGAGCCCACAACCCGGGCCTGTGCCCTCACCGGGAATCCAACCGTGACCTCCTGGTTCATTCATGCGTCAACGAACTACTGAGCCACGCCAGCTGGGCTTACCATTCTTTTATTTTTGGTTGCTTATTAGCATATAGAAATACAATTGATTTCTGATGACCTCTTATTCTAAAACTTTGCTAACTCGTTAGTTTTAGTGTGTTTTTTTGTGTGGAGTCCACTGGCTTTATGTATATGTGACGACTAGGAATGGAAAAACCGACAGCTAAGCACAAGAAAACCTGCCCGGCAGTTTAAAATCAAGTATCTTCTGTTTAATAACGGAGCAACGTAAAGTTGAGGAATCGAATCGTTACGGGTAATTTTCCTGACGATCGAAAAAGGGTACGGAAATTCATGTTCTCCTTTATTTGGGGAGAAATATCCGAGTGGGAGACTGCAAACAGAATTTTAATTACTATGTGCTGAAACCCCCCATATTTTAAAGAACTCCTTTAACAAAACAGTAGATAGTTAAGATTTATTTTCATTTTTCAATCTGAAAAAACAACAACAGACAAACCCCCAAACAAAAAAAAAACAAACTACACTCATATGTACAGTGTCAACATGTTCAGCGCACTTACACCAGGAAACCGTGTTTCTCTTCCATCGCATGGCAATACCGCAGGTGCCACAGTGAGATTTACACAAACAGCGGCCTCGGCCGTCACCCGGACAGCGCGATTTCACATTTCCACGCAACAAGGCAAAAACGGACGCCTCCCCGGCTCTTCGCTCACGTCCCCAGAACCGGTGCCCAAAGCGGGCTCCCACGCGTGCTTTTAGCACTTGGGCTTTTAAAACCCGACGGCGGCTGCTGGAGAAGCCGTGTCGCTTTCCGGACCCACGCTTCACGAGAAATCCGCCGTTTAAACACGACCACCGGCGGTGCATCGATGGGCACGGCGGTGACGTTTACCCGCCAAAGGAGGTGTAAAAAAATCGCAGGAAAGGAAAAATAAATAGAGCTGTTGTAAGTAGTCTTGCTTGCGCGATAGTTTGGAACACTTGCACACGGGCGTGCCCTTAAAGTCGGAGGGTTATTTAGGTTCAGATTACAGCCGTCCGACAAATCTAAGGAAAACAAGCTGATTTGGTAAGAAGGTTCAAAGACTCACTCTCCGGCGGTGTCACCTCACACACGTCCCTGCTCCGGCCGCCTCCAGCAGCGGCGACGGCCCGCGGCCGCCCGCCGAGGTCGACATAAGGCACTAGGTCTGAGAGTGCCACACACCCGCCTTACGTCCCGTGACCTGCGCCACACCAGTGAATGCTTTGAAATGAAAAATAATAAACTTTTCAGGACACAGTGCACTTTAATGACAGACAGCATCGGGAATCTCTCAGAGTCTGAAAACAGCCTCTCAGCCCAAGCCTGGCTCTTCGAACGCACGTCAAGTCTTTCTCTTTTTTTTTGTTCAACGCGTCGTTTCAACATCGCTGGAAAAAAACACACCCGTCGCTAAACCCTGATAGACATCCTTGGCCGTTTTCGTCTCGTCCATGGCGGTCAGTGTTCATGAGGCAAAGCGTGACCCAGAGTCTTAGTTCAAGTCCTCAAGGGCTCCGTTCGCAGCGGTCATTCCGTCTCCGGCTCCTTCTGTTTGGCACCTGTCAGTAGAGGGAAAATGAAGTTTCAGAGGGACATCGAAATCCGTGGCAGCCGAGCGTGCCCTCCCCGACAGCGCGCGGTCCTCCACGTCGGAGGTCCCTGCGGACTCGCAGTGCCGCCTCGGGGGCAGGTTCGAGGCTGCAGGGGGCCGAGCAGGGGGGCCCCAGGCTCCCCACTCCCGCCCCCCACAACTGCAGCAGGCTTTTAACCTGTATCACATATTGTAAATCTAAACACACCAGATTTAATTCGGAAAAGAAAGGGGTTCCGCTGCTAAAGAATTTAAAAAGAAACGAGTGTTTACGTTCCAGTGATGGTGCAAAGCACTTCCACTGTGCACATAAAAGTGTTTTAAAAAAAGTCTTAAACATGTTTAAGGATAATTGCACGTAACACCAACTTGAACTGGCCAGGATATTTCAAAAAGGGTTGGTGGGCCCGGCCGGCGTGGCTCAGTGGCTGAGCATCCACCTAGGATCCAGGAGATTGTGGTTCGATTCCCGGTCAGGGCACAGGCCCGGGGTTGGGGCCTCGATCTCCAGTCGGGGGCGTGCAGGAGGCAGCCGATCAATGACTCTCATCATTGATGTTTCTCTCTCTCTCTCTCCCTCTCCCTTCCTCTATCTGAAATCAATAAAGACATATTTTTTAAAAAAAGGAACTTGACTGTTTACTCTGAGTTTGCAACGCACAAAGAATCTCGGCCACAGGGACAGCCGGGAGCCTGACCCCACTGGGGAAACTGTGGGCCTTGGCGCAGGGCCAGTGCCCGGAGGAGCGAGCCTTTCTCTGAAGGTGCCAGGTTACGTGCCCGCGTGGCTGACTCTGCCGGGAGAGGAGGCCTCTTCCCTACGCAGGAAGGGCTGTCCAGCTGTCTATGTGCGTAACCACCCTCTGGGTGGGTCCTGCTCCTCGGCTGGACGCTGTCTGGGGGGGTGGTCCATGTCCACAGAGCTGTGGTTCATCGTCAATGCCTGTGGCATCCCATGGGATGAACAGAAGAAATCTCTCCCTTCTTCTGCTCAAGGATACCTGGGTTGTTTTCCAGTTTTAGGTTATTACAAATGCCATGACCACTCTCACATTCACATTGTCCTTTTATCAGCCTTTCATGATTATAAAGATTACCGTGCCCGGCCGGGCGTGGCTCAGCGGTTGAGCATGGACCTAGGATCCAGGCGATCAGGGTTCAGTNCTGTCTCTTATACACATCTAGATGTGTATAAGAGACAGGGGTTCAGTTCCCGGTCAGGGCACAGGCCCGGGTTGCGGGCTCGATCCCCAGTCAGGGGATGCAGGAGGCAGCCGATCAATGACTCTCCCATCTTTGATGTTTCTACCTGCCTCTCGCCCTCTCCTTTCCTCTCTCTGAAATCAATAAAGACATATTTAAAAAATAAATAAAAAAATAAAAATTACCGTTTCACATTCTCTAATATCTGAAAAATTTTTTTTTTTTAAATCTTCACCCAAGGATATTTTTTCCATTGATTTTTAGAGAGAGTGTAAGGGAAGGGGAGAGAGAGTGAGAGACAGAGGGAGGGAGAGAAACATTGACGTGCGAGACACACGTCGACTGGCTGCCTCCCACGTGCGCCCTATTGGGGCCCGGGGATCAAGCCTGCAACTCAGGTACGCGCCCTTGACTGGCAATCGAACCCGTGACCCTTGGTTCTCAGGCGTACGCTCTAACCAACCACTGAGCCAAACCAGCCAGGGTTCCAATATCTGAAAATTGAAAGCGACCGCGCCAGGCCCCATGTCTAGAGTTTCTGATTCAGGAGATGCGGGCGGGGCCCTGGGTGCACGTTTCTGAGGAGTCCCAGGTGCTGCTGCTGGGCCCCTGGGTGTCCCTGCTCGACTGGAATCACAGCCTTGGGGTCCCCCTCGGTGAGTGCGATGCCTTCTCACGGGTGGCAGGGATTCCTGAAGGGCGGGCACCTTTAGGTGAAGGGTCAATTGCAAAAAAAACGAGTCTCGGCTAGTTTGATTTTTGGACCAAAGAAAAATCAATACCGTAGTACTCGCACTTTAATGTGTAACTCGCAGGAGTTCAAAGTGCACGTTGCTTGGCCTCTGTCTTGGCCCAGATCTTGGACTTGGCCTGCGCAGCCCAAGGCCGGGTTGTTTGTATTTACTGGGGGCAGGGAGGGGAGGAGAGGAAAGGAGAAGGGGGGGCTGGCGCTTTTAGGATGTCTTCAGCCCACCCCCCTATTGACGGTGGGACACAGGAGGCCCCCGGACTCTTCCCCGAGGCCCCTCCCCCCTGCACGCTCCCGGCTGTGACCCGAGGGCTGGCTCAGCGTGAATCTGGCAAAATGAGGTTCTGCGGCGGTGCCGTCTGCTCGCTAACGTGATTTCCACACCCCCCTCACGGAAAAGTGTCTGCGCTTACGCCTTCTGTTTTATAGACTCAACGCGCTAGACAGTTATTTTCTTTTTGAAGTATAGATGAAGGTTTCAACAGTTAGAACCCAAAGAATTTCCCTCCTGTTTTTCCAGTTAGCAATCCGAAACATAAAGCAAAACTGAAGAGGTCTTAGCTCCCCCCCACCCATCCTCATTCGAGGATATTTTTCCCATTGCTTCAGAAAGAGTGGGAGGGAGAGAGAAACATCGGTGTGAGAGACACACAGCGACGGGCTGCCTCGCGCACGCCCCCCGACCAGGGGCTGGGGATCTAACCTGCCACCAAAGTAGGTGCCCTTGACCGGGAATTGAACCTGCGACCCTCCAGTCCGCAGGCCAACGCTCTAACCACTAGGCCAATCAGGCTAGGGCAGGTCTTAGATTTTTTTTTAACGGAAAGGCTGTGATGAACTTGGCAATGAGTCTATTATTCGGGCACCGCCGGGCAGAGAGAGGCTAAATCAGGACGATTTCTATAAACTTTTCTCTCTCACCCCAAGGAGAGGAGTGCGACTTCATAACCACAAAGGAAGTGAGAATGGTTTACAGAGGAACAAACAGAAAGCCACGCGGGGGGAGCAGCAGGGCCCGCGCCCGCCCCTCCATCTCCCGGCGCTTCGTACCCGGGGGCGTGAGGATCAGGGCCTGCAGGATATCCGACAGGGAGATGATCCCCACGATACTATCCGCCTCGTTCACCACCACCAGCCGATGCACCTGCGAACGAGAACAGCAGGCCGCTGAGCAAGTTTAAAGCAAACGTTTTAAAGTGGAACGTAGGAGAAAAACACTCTCACAGACTCCACCATGAACCCGTCCCACAAATGAGAGGCAGGAACAGTGTACAGGCCACGGAAAGGTCTCTGGCTCTAACGTTCAAATGCGATGCTGATTTGCTCGATGACTTTTTTTTTTAAAGATTTTAAAATTTGTATTGATTTTGAGAGAGAGAGGGAGAGTGGGAGAGAGAAACATCAACGTGAGAGCATAACACCCACGGNGAGCATAACACCCGTCGACTGTCTCCTGCACGCCCCCTACTGGGGAGCGAGCCTGGAAACCCAGGCATGTGCCCTGACCGGGAACTGAACCAGCAGGGGGTATTATTTCCATTGCTTTTCAGAGAGAGTAGAAGTGAGAGAGAGAAACATCGATTGGTTGCCTCCCCCTCAAGTGCTGACCAGGGCTGGGGACTGAGCCCTTGGCCAGAACTGAACCCAGGACCTTTCAGTCCTCGGGTACTTTCAGATTCTCTTAAACAGTTTTTTTAAAAAGTATATCTTTATTGATTTCAGAGAGAGGAAAGGAGAGGGAGAGAGAGAGAGAGAAACATCAATGATGAGAGAGTCATTGATCGGCTGCAGCCCGCAACCCGGGCCTGTGCCCTGCCCGGGAATCAAACCCTGACCTCCTGGTTCATAGTTCGATGCTCAACTGCTGAGCAACACTGGCCAGGGCTGTATGTCTTTTTTTAAACCGTAGGAGTATCTTACCAGTTCGCTTGATTCAACTATGATATAGGGACTTATAAATTCCGTTCAATGAACATTTACAGATGCCCTACTATGTGCCAGGGAACATGCTAGGTTCCGGAACAGGGACTGAACTTGAAGGTGACCCCACGGCCTGGGTCCTGAGATTCCCGATTCCC